TACCATTATTTACATTGAAGTACTATCTGATGGACATTGTTGTCCTCTCTCTTAGATATTATTCATTTTGTTACAGATTTTGAGATATGATTTTAATTAATCACAAAAATCGCAATGACCTATATATCTATTTGTATTGCAAATTACTCGAGTATATTTTTGCAATTCATACTCAAGCAGTAATAATTCTTTAGATATAGAAATATCATCATTGTCAATGGTTTTCATTCCCGTAAAATCGTTCAATTTAATTCCCATTAAATCATGCTTTGAATACTTCAGCATTTCTACACTACACTATTGAAATTGGAATAGAATAGCAATAGACCATGGCCGATGTTGATATTTTCTAGCTATATTTTTTTTAAATAACATTCTAATGCAAAACAATTATTAATACCAACGAAATAAGTCAATGTCCGTTACTCAACAAATGGGCAGAATCATAATGGATGGTTTCTATTCATTCACCCAGTCATCACTTCTAACTTTGTACAACGTTGTAGCTGAGTGGCAGCAGTATGAAGGTGACATTCATTTTCAAAGTGTTACAAATAATACCATAGTAGTAATGTAGTCTAAGATTGCACCTGGGTGGGGTCAAGTATTGATTTTCTTTTAAACATGGATGGTATTTAGTAACATTTACATAAATCAAACTTGTGTTAAGTGATTATGTTGATAATTTTTAAGATCGTTGGAAAGATGGTAGATCTATGGGGTCTTATGGTATGCGTTCTTGGTAACTGCTTTCCATCATACTGAACATGACAGACATGGGCATCCTCCTCAAAAGGAGTTATCTCTGTGACATGGAACCTTTTATTAATGCATTACAACTATCTCCAAACAATCAGAGAGAAGAGGTTCCCTTACCTCGTCTCGGGCATTGTTGTCTCAATATTTAGCATAATAAAAACATTTCTGCACATTGTACAGTTCATTATTAACTGTAATGTAATGACACTTCTCCAAAATAAAAAAAATGCAGATCGAAATTTGATAGCGGGCAATTTTATAAAAAGTATAGAGAATTCACTAAGAATTCAACCGATGAACCACTTTTATCCGCTGTAGTTCTCCAAAAGATTAGCGAGACTGTTGTCAGTTGATTTTGTTGGTCTAGTTTCCACCCAATAAAATTGCCCGCCATCAGATTTTGGTTAACCACAGCAAACGCAAGATGACACACTTTTCACAGGTGTATCCCTCCCCTGTATTGGCATTAGCGTAGCCATTTTTGAAAATCACCGGATGTAACGTCTGTAACGGCCCGTTTTGACTAGGCCCATTTTGACTAACCGATCCACAATTTTATTTCTACAAACGTCAAATAAACACGCTGGGTGTTTTTACCGGCTCCTATAGCTTGGCGCAAGTTGACGACGCGCATAGGGAGCCGGGAACCAGCTTAAGACCCATCGGCGAAACAATCCCATGTGACATCAGCCTAGCAACAACTTTGCTGGGGTCATCGAGTGTGCATAAGCCCCTCTCTGTGATCTATCATCTCCACACGCAATGTCGTTGAATAAGCTAAGGGATGTTGAGAGGAAGGGGGAAAAGTAGGTAGGTTTTTCTTTAAATAAGCACATGAAGGTTTGCCTCCTGTTTTCTGTTAAATAATAAACATTCAATTAAACTACATTCATTGTTATGTTTTGTCCATCTATAATTAGAATTGATAACCTGGTCAGGAGCCTCACAGAACATAAAGAATACTGCACGGGGAGACCAGAACAGAATGCAAAACACCACAGTAAACATCCAACCTTTGCACATTTCTATATTGTTCCTGTCACTGGAAAACCTTATAGAAACGTTAGAGGGTGCCTATTACACATGAAATAAACATGACTTTTGTTTGTTCAAGAACAGATTAAAATGATTACTATCATAATGAAAAAAACAACATTATTATAAAGTATCGCGACAATGTTGAATCAACGCTGTGCTTCAAAATGATTTTGATTTTTAGTTGGATTTGAAAGTTGTGATTATGTTGAAATGTAGACGTTGGATCATCATCAGATATCGATGTTAAAACAATGTTTTTCTTCAATGTTTAAATGACATTGATTTTTATTTGAATATGAAAGTTGTGATAATGTTGAAATGTAGACGTTGAATCATCATCAGATATCAATGTTGAAACGATGTTGCACTTCAACGTTGAAATGACATTGATTTTTAGTTGGATTTGAAAGTTTTAATGTCGACGTTGAATCATCATCATATATCAATGATCCATTTTGGTAGGGTATTGGTTGAATGGTTCAAATGGACTCCCAATGCCTACTCCTCGACTGAGTTGCTTCTCCTTAGATGCAAGAGGGTGGTGACTGAGGCCCCATGCAGGTTCATCTTGTGTCGGGGCATGCCACTTTGGAGACCCGTTCCATACATGGTATAATTCGGGTGAAATGCTGCGCAAGACCGGTGTCACTATTGGTCAGATACCTGCAGGGTTTGTCGTAAAAAGCGACTAACGGGATCGAGTGGTCAGGTTCGCTGACATGGTTGATGCATGTCATTGATCCCAATTGCGTGGATCGATGCTCATTATGTCAATCACTGGATTGTCTGATCCAGACTCGATTATTTACAGACCGCAGTCATATAGCTGGAATATTGCTGAGTGCGGCGTTAAACAACAAACAAACAAACAAACCAGCTCTTAGTAGTTTCACTTTTCGCGAAATACCTCATCATTCTCCATATCGGTGAAGCCAACCTGTTAGGAGTATCTCCAAACAAAACACAATCAAGCGATTGTCTGAATAAATGGCAATGTTTTAGTACTTCTTGAAAAGAAATCACAACCTATGAGTAACACCTCAACATGGAAAGGTTCGAAGAAAACATCAAACCAAAGTGTCCCTCAAGTGCAATCCATGGCACAGTTATATTCAGGGAAAAAACATATGTTGGCACAATTCTAAAAGCATATAGTCTTTGGCACATCAATGACTTGGCACAATTTGATCTTTTGGCACTCCTTCGGGTCTCCTGATGTGGAGGATTTAATGTCAGCTCTTTACAAACCCAATTAAGAATCTGTATTTTCCCACAACATGAAGTATACAGCATAAAGGCTGCATTATCTCCCTTGATTCATCAGACGTCTTCTGTCCTCGTCCTGTCGACCAACTGAAGAGAGAAAGAAAAAGGCTTATAAACACATAAAGATAACCCTTGTTGCGACAAGTATCACATTACACTGATACACTCTCACTAATCAAAGTTTATTTCCAATTTTCGTTTGACTAATTAACGGTAGCTGATGAAGAGGCTCAGAAAACTACAAACAGAAAAAAATCTTTGCTAAATCTACAAATATCCAAAATGTCTTAATTAACAATTACTTCAATCAAACATGTTATGTTTTAGAACGTGTGAACTTAGAAACAGTATAAATGTAAAGAACACAACTAATCTCACATCTGTGTTCTGTTATAAGAAGTTAGCCCTGGTCCAAACATGAACACAATGTTCTGCACTTACAATGATGTTAATGGATTACCCAAAGTTATAGAATAAAATGATTACCGACATTTATGACAACGCCCAACTACATGCCCGTAATGTTCAGGTTAAATGCGAGATGTCCTGGCTGTTTCGTAAATATAAATTATGCAAAGTCTATAGTGAGTCTATAGTGATTATATATTGTGATGTAATAGTACTTCTAAATGGTTGGGGGGGCACGGGTGGCCCAGTCGTCTAAGGCGCCGCGATTCGCTGTGCAGAGTTGCGTCCCCTGGACACGCCAGAAACCTATGATCGGGGTTCGAATCCCGGTTCACCCCGATTATGTTTCTAGGTTTGTCAGCACCATACCCGTGCTCGTGGGTTTCACCGAAGTGGTAAACGTTTGAGACCTGCATCACTTCGGGCTTTCCTCCCACATTAAGCTGACACGCCGTGATATAACTGGAATAATGTTAAAAGCGGCGTTAAACCCAACTCACTCACTCACTCACTCTAAATGGTTGGTTGATTTGTTGTTTAACGCCGCACTCAGCAATATTCCAGATATATGACGGCGGTCTGTAAATAATCGAGTCTGGACCAGACCATCCAGTGATTGACATCATGAGCATCGATCCACGCAATTGGGATTGATGACATGTATCAACCAAGTCAGCGAGCCTGGCCACTCGATCCCGTTAGTCGCCTTTTACGACAAGCATAGTCGCCTTTTACGGCAAGTATGGGTTGCTGAAGACCTATTCTACCCCGGAATCGTCATATAACTAACTATACGTCACATCTTCATGTCCGTTAATCAGTTATGGCCTGATGAGATTCGTACGTGGTACGAGTTGAAAGCGCTAGCCAATTGAAACTGTTCGATTTTACTTTTTACTCAACTTGTATGTACATATTTACAATATGAAGTAATATCGTGTCGAAATAATAGCGTTTGGTATAAAGAGCATGGAGTCTAGAGTTGATAAATATTTTTATTCCAACCAACGAAGAAATCGGCGAATTTAATATGTGTTTATAAAATGTTGAATTTTAGTTTACTTTTCAATTTTGAAACAATACCAGTTTTAAACATATTCTCAATATCAATAGGTTAATGTTGAATCAGTGTTGAAAACAATGTCCCCTTTCATCTTTTTTTCAATATAGAAAGGCCAGTGTTTAATCAATGTTGAAAACAATGTCGGATTTCAACATATTTTCAAATATCGAAAGGCCAATGTTGAATGAATGTTGAAAACAATGTCAGATTTCAACATATATTCAAATATCTAACAGTCAGTGTTGAAAAGTCAAATTCCAAAATATTTACACATATCGAAAGGCCAAAGTTGAATCAATGTTGAACACAATATCACATTTCAACACATCTTCTAATATTGAATTGTCAATGTTGAAATAACGTCAACACTGAAACAGTTGTCATGTGCCTTCTGGGAAAGGTATAAATTAATGTGACACCTACATGAGCCCAGGACCACAAAATGAGGAATGAATACACTCGATACACTTATGTCAGTTCTGCGAAGCCGTCACACTGCAGGCTAAAATGACTTGCGATATACAGGTTAAGCGTTATGTGAAAATGTGAAACTGACTATAGTTTGACAATAGCTCTTTGTCAAGTAGTCAGTGTTTGGGGGGATAAAATCTTTTTATTTGTTGAGTCAGTTGTGGGCACATGGCTGTTGTAGACAGACAGTCAAAAGATTGTATGAACATCCCTGAAAACATTGCAGAAATCCCTATTTGCTCGTGGCTGTGATTTGTAACCCTCAGAGGAGAAATGAATGGAGGTCATGGACAAGGAGTTATTGCACACACCTGTTGATGGGAGTAATGTTGTTAGGTAGTTAAAATGGAGATGTAAAAAAATGTAATCAACTCTTGGATACATGCTGTCACCAGCCCATCATGGAACAGAGGTGCACCTAGACCGACATTGTGAAGCTGATACGCTGTCAACTGGTAGGTGGAGTCTTTAGTGTGTGAGCTTACAGCTGGACAGGTAATGGTTCATGTTAAACCCACAACATTCACCAGCAGTGCTGCATGTCATAGGTATGCTTGACCTAGATCACAGTCTCGTCCTAATGTAGCCGGCAACATGCCAGTATGTAAGTTACACGGAGGATAACAATATGACGGGATTATGAGTATTTTCATTTGTGAAACTGGGTCAAGCACTGCACAGAAATATGGTATTTATTCCACACATATAGAAGAGGAATGAGAAACTTCTTAGGTCTGAATGTTTACTTACACATGCTAAATATTCCACACACTTACATGTGGAAGAGCTGGCTAGATATGATGGATTCAATGGAATTGTTAGACTGTCAGTAATGTGATGTAAATAGGAAGGGTTGTCTGTTAGGAGGCTCATAATTGTCTCCATATGCCCAATGTAAAGCATTGTGTGGTGGAATGGTTAATTAATGTTGATACTGCATCATAAAAGATATTAATTGTGAAAATATCTTCCTGTGTTATGATATGGCCCTTTACTTTTTTGGGAACTATTATTCAAATGTAATGTGATTTTTCTTGTCTCTTGTATCCATGCAATCTGTATTGAAAGGATACAATAAATCAACTAAATTAAGTAAATTGGTGATCAGTTTTTAGAAAGGCAGTGACACAAGGCTGTGTATTAAAATGGATGGTGTGAATCTGAGAAGATTTCCATGCTATCATGAACTTATATGATGGGCAAAACTCATAGCCTATTATATATTATGTCCCTTAATTGTTGTCATTGTGGTGTAACACAAAAGTTATTTGTGATTCTATGTGCATGCTGTTTCTTAGTTACAAATACCATCATATACATGAGGTCATAAACAAGTTGTAATTATGCCCTAGGCCAGCTTAATGAGTGGCAATTTGCCTGTTGACCATGGAGGCTAGGAACAAAGGTGTGGAAACTGTCTACATGTGGCCGTTGGCACAATGCTAAGTCATATCCACCTCAAGACTATAAACATCTAGTCTCTGAAATGAACATATTTTACAGCAAAAAGAAACAGTTGTTAAATTATCTTAATAAAACATAATTGTAGTAATCTAGACCTGCCCACTATTATAGACTTGTATGGGCTGTATTGGATATATTTGTTTCAGGGTCTGTATGACAGACCAATCCACCATTTGGTCTCTAATCATATATCTCTCCATCGGAAATGAAGGCCAACTGAAATAACATAACTTGCTAGCTGTGTTGGCTCACATCAACAGTATTACCTTGTATTCAATAAGGACAAATATTTCAATGAAGGGAAGTTTCTTTGTGGTAAGGGTGAGAAATCTGTTTAGCATATAAAATGTATATGTTAACATACATTGTATATAAGTTGACATACTCTGTATTTTGAGCCAAACTCATACTTAAGATGCTGTAGATAAAACTGGTAATGCAAGGACACCTTTTTTAACAGAAGTTTTAAGCTGTACAAGGTTTGAGACAATGCATCTGAACTGATTTATGACCAGCATAAATTAAAATAAGTTTTAGAAATTAAACTGCCCTATTTATTATGAAAATATAAAAAATATTTTTTCTGAAACAATGATTATTGTAATTTCAAACTCATTTTTAAGCAGCTACAGATAAATGGGGATGTAAATTTGTCTTCCAATGACCTCTCACAGAGTTCTTCATATATTCATGCTGTGCTTTGTTTTCAATTGGACATCTCACCATTGAAATCAAGGCAACTTGTTATGGGTCGCTTGAAGGTAACTTGTCATTAGGTCAATAAAAGTTGGGACATGTCATCCTTCGGGTGGAGATAGGAAAAGGTTGTGAGTCACCCACGTACAAGGTAAAGCTAACTGAAGGTCATTCATATTAATCATAGAATATGTTGTCATTTTCACTGTTATTGTTTTCATTAAATTGCCTTTTTCAGCAGTCTTTATACATGAAGTGATCATATTATGACAAGTGATAATCCTATGAGATCAGTAGTATGTCACAGCAACCTACTCTCGATTTGTAAGAATATGCTATATTTTTGTTGGATTCATTGAACTCCACCTATTGGCATCACATTTGGTTTAGAATAAAACGGAAAATGTAACTATCATCCATATGGTAGGGCAATGAAGTGGGAAGGTTTTAAGTAACTTTCACTGACTGTCATGGTAGGGCTGGGACAGGTAATTTGGGTACCCGGGTCGGGTGGGTGCTGAGTAGGACCTGGGTACCCACAGGACTACCCGGACCCGGGATATTTGTTTTATGACAAAAATTATCTAGAAATTATCTATGGTCACACTACAAGTCACTAATATTCGCATTTCTTTCTAACTATGCACCCATACCTTCTGATTTTTCATATGGTTGAATAAAGATGTATTTTAATTCAACTTCAGTGTATAAATGACCAGATTGTTTAATACATGTATCTAAATACGTTTTGCCAGGGCACTGCTAAAAATATTCCCAATCAGACATTTTGAGACAACTCCTGAGACCTACAGTGGGTACCCGGGTAGGGTCGGGTAATAGAGGGGTGGGTACCTGGGTAGTAAATTTGGACTCGTCCTAGCCCTAGGTGATGGTCACTTGTAAGGTTGCTCTAATGTTTTGTTCTAAACCAACCACATGTTAAACTAGAGACAATTTATGGATAACAACTTCTTTAATTATTGTTATCCATAAATTGTCTCTACTTTGTCATCTGTCAACTTCTAAGTAATGCCAGCAAACAAGTCAACCACACGTTGCAATGAAATGTTTGTAAGAGATATAGCACCCATGTTTTCAACTACGAAAAAGCATGCATGATGAGCCCAAATTGAAGGTCAAGGTCATTAAACAGGAAGTGCATATAACTTTCTTATTAATGTATGGGGTTCTCCATTTTAAAGTTGTCTTGAATTAGACATGTGTTTCATAAAGTTATGTCATACAACCAGAATTGCATATAACTTCCTTATTAACTTGGAGGCATATGACTTTCTGTTTCAAAGTCACTCAACAAATGACATGTACTGAGCCAATCAGATGTCAGCTTTCTAGACCGATTTTGTTTCTTTTGCATCCAATTTCAGTTATTTTGTGTATCATTGTGTAAATTCCAAAGTATGAGCTATAAGTTGAATATTTAACAGTGTCGTTAGGGACGGACCATTTGATATTCTGGGGGTGGACGGGATTGTTGCAATCATAATATATCATCACAGCTAAGAAAACATTTATTTTTTTTAGAGAAAAACACCTTCAACAATGTAATTTTAGTGGCATCCTCCCAAAGCAAGGGAGTTAACTGACTATAAATGTTCAGTTTCCACATTGCCAAACTAGGCTGGAATTTAGGAGTTATGATTTGACTGGACTAATGAGTCCTTATGCATTTTCCAATCAAAACTGCCTAACCAAATCAAAATTGACATCTAGTTCATAAACTGTTGTGCAGATTAAGGTCGTTTGCAGATTTGCAAAGCATTTGTACCGTCAACTGGGTGTATGCAGATATTTTCCTCATCTTTTCATGTTTTAAATGAAGGTGCTTAAGTACTTTGCTGCATTTTGCGAGGTAAAACCGTTTGATAACAATACAGATGATTATCGATCAGACCACCTTCACTGGGCACCACCATTTTGTTTGAAGAAAATGCAAGTAATGTGATGGGTTGAATCTGACTGGTCAATAGGAGGGACATAGAAAGAACATAACTTGTACTTTCAATGCAGCCATGCTGAGATGCAATGTTTGTAATTATTATGCAGGTGAAGTTACATAGCACTTCCTTTTGGTATGTCCATGTTATACAGAAATTAGAAAACTGCTCATTATTAGTTATTTGCATTAATACTTCACTGGGTTGTCTGCACTCCACTCCACTCCACTCCACCGTCACCTGTGAATACATACGACTGCTTTATATGGTGTAGTCACATTTTTTAACCAACCAATCAAGACAGTACAAAGGAAACCAATGAGTGTTAGACAAATAAGTTCCCAGATTACATTGGCAATTTCTTGTCACAACTTACAGCCATTCATACATTGTGATCACATGATTCTGCGTACACATGAATGACATAGCATTTAATTATTTGTTGGGTTATTTGGTGACAGAAACGTGTGGGAGGGAACACTGTTAGGATAACGTGGATCACAGTAAGGACCTAGGAAAGCCTAGGCATGTGCTACTGATGCCACAAGGATGAGTCGGTTTAAGTCTTTGAATCATTACTGGACAACTGTAGTGATGAAAGTGGCTTGGGTGGAAGTTCCATGACAGTTTCATGTAACCAAAATAGTTGTCATCAAACTACTTCATCCTGTTCACTCGATATTTTTGTGAGAAGAATAATTGCAACCAAAAATGAGAAAACAATAATATATACAAGAATACCCTTACAAATGCATTTATTTGCACGCTTCTTGGCTTTGGCTCCCATGCTTAAAATGCATGAGAAAGGGGTGTAACACCCTTCGACCAAATACACAGCTTGAAAGCCTTGTACCATCCTTGACATATGAGGGCTGGCTGAAAAGTTCTAAGCCTAAGTGGGATATCTTAATCGGATTGAAACAAACTTTTGCCACCAACAAGTACAATCATTTAATGAATCATAGACATAAGAACTGCAACTGTAGTGTTATTATTGTCTTTGTACCAGACCATCTTGTGAACCTACCCATTGAAATCACCAGAAATGGACAAAACTGGCTATAGGGCAGTCATCAAGTACCTGCAACTGAAAGGGCTAACTCCAACACAGATACATGCTGATCGACATGGTCTCCACTTTAGGGGATGATGCCCCTTCCTTTTCCACTGTAAAGAAGTGGGCTGTGGAATTCAAGCATGGCAGAGAGAGCCTTGACGATGACCCGCATCCAGGAAGGCCTTCAACAGCAACCATTCCGGAAAACATTACTCGGGTGCATGACATGGTGATGGCTGATCGACGATTGACCACTCGACATATTGCCAGTGCTGTGGGCATC